GTCTAGTTTATCAAATAGCAATGAACCAGTAAAATTGCTGACGATTCCTTCGACATTCTGCAATCCTAAGTCAGTTATATTTATTTACTAAAACTCGACGACAAACGATGGTATTTCTGAGTTTTGGTTATGAAATAAGGTAGCAATACAGCGTTTCATGTTGCTGATAACTGAGAACTGTCCAAGAATTAGAGAAATATTATGGACGAACGGAAGGGAATATTCAGTATTGCTGGCAAATTCTGTGAGCGTCTTTGCTCGTGTAAGACTGAAATTTAAACTTAAGAATTTGTTATTGTCTTGATAACGTATTCGCTAGAGAGACAAGAGAGTTATATCAAATACAGGGGTTTCTTGTATGGTATAGACTATGATCATGGGTACGAAAAGACAAATACATCTTATTGATGACAATTATTTATGATTTTTCTCTGTTTGGTCAATCGAGCTAAACGAATTAACCAGCGACCTCTACGCAGTACTGCGGGTTTAGTAATTGGATGTCAGTGCTTCATTATTAAATATCACTAGTGTTTATTTTCATTTCGTGTCGTTTCTTTCTCTGTTGGCGATAAATATCAAAGTTAATAAGTTAACAGGAGACAAGATAAATGCCCACGTAATAGCTTTAAACGAAAAAAAAGAAAACCATTTACGTATGAAAGATTTAGTCATTTTTGTCTTTTCTTTATGGTCATATTAGGATTTAAAATGTTACATTAGGTGAAGCTCTGTGATCTGCAGCCGAAAATAACCTCCTTGCCTCCTTTATTTGGAAAGTGATTATAAACATCTCTTAATGTATCAACCAGTCAAGAAGCCCCAATTGTTATAAGTCGGCGAGCGCTTCGTCCCGGCCCGCGGTGACTTAAACGTGCCACATTTGCCTTTCTTTGATTGGTCTGCAACCAGTGGGAAACCAGTTGAATTATTCCAAAGTTTAAAGAAGATAGATGAAAACATTATGGCATGAACCTTTTAAGTTTGCCGCTTGTTTAAAGATAAATTTGGATCAAAAGGAAAAAATTGCTTATTGCCTAGTATGATTCCAAATCATGTCTACATTTGTTTCATATGTAACCACGTTTCACATGCCAAATGATATCAAGTCCGGCTGTTGAATTGGTGCCTGCGTGTATTGAACATTTAACTGGCAATTGGAGACTTAAGAAATAGTAACGCAGCGAAATAAGGTATGTAATCGATGGCTGTACATATATAATTGAGGGAAATCCTTTTGTTATGAAAATAAATAACCTTTAAGAAATTACGGGCTGAATTCACATCCTGAAGCAAACTAATCACAAAAGTGTACACGGTTTTTAGGGTCATAGCCTCGCAAACAAAATACTGAAACACATAATCAATTTGGTTTTCAATTTTATTTCTAACATAGCTCGTAAATTTGTCTAATCAAATTCAATTGCGCGAGCGTGCTTCGACGTCAGCAAACAAATCCCTCCAGAAAAAAAATTTTCCATTGGGTTGAAAATGTTATAAAACAATTGGTTCATACGTCAGCTGTGTGTTCATCGAGATATGAAGCACTTGGCAAGTTTGGAGAGCACTCAAGAAGCTAGAGTTGCTCTCGGCTACGCCCCGAGCAACTCTTACGCATCTTTCGTGCTCTCCAAACTTCCCGCGTGCTTCATATCTCGATGAACGCACGCTGACGTATGAACCAATTGTTAAATAATTATTAAAGGATTCCAATATTGTAATGATAAAAATATAGGTCGCTATTTTCTTTAATTTTTAAGACTTGAATTTCCACAACGCGTTGCAACTTGGTGCGGCTTTTAAATCTTAGATTGACTACTAAATTACGTCGGCAATCACGTGGAAACGACTTGTAACGGTCTAGAAACAGAACAGGTGGAACAGGTCAAATGCCTCGAGTCAAATTTCACTTAGCTGAAAAGCTAATAAATATTCTGCACCCTTATTTGAAAGCATGTTTATATGAAGCTGTTTCCTCCTTAGCTGAACACAGAAAAGGGTAAATAGCAAGATTAATTTATATACCTGCTCTTAACACAAGTTACTTTCCTCAGGATAGATCTTGTTTGCGTTTGAAACAGCCATCTGCTTTGTGGTTGCTATCTAATTTTTCCCTCCATGTATTCACGAAAAAGATTTTATGAAATTTATTTTAATGAAATTCACGTCTACAACTGCTTTGTTTTAGCATCTAATTTGAACCTATTCTAGCTTCAATAACTAGACCTGATAATTTGCGAAAGGGAAGACCGCGGAAAATGCTGGAAATATGCAGTTAATGTGCTATCTGTACGCTGTGATGCAGATCAGCTTCATAGGCTTTAGTGCATTTTAGATAACCTTGATGAAATGTTATCTACCACAAAACCAAAAAGGCAAATTATGCGGCAAAGGTAGAAGAAAATTTCTGAAGTTTCTGAAGAATAATCTAGCAGCAACTGTTTCAGCAACTGAAGGCTATTAATAAAAAAACTCCAGAAAAATAAGGGTAATTCTTACCTTTCCAGCAAACCCACTTTTCGCCTGTTATATTTAAAAGAAAACTCCTTACTTACAGTCAGACTGGCGCTTGGTAATGACTCTCAGGAAAACATTCAGTAATGTATTAAATAATTTGAGCAGGTGATATCACGAAGATCCTACGATTTGTGTTTTAGTAGCGAGAATCTTCAGCCTCTCCTTTAAATCATTAGGAAAAAATCAACGATCTACTCTCACTTTTGACGAGGAAATAAAACGCTTTCAATTTTTGCAAATGACTCGCCACATGTGGGTAATTGTTTATTAATCATGACCGCGAAGACACCACCACGTTTGGGAGGAGTTTTAGAGGGAAACATGCACTAACTAACTTTAAATCTTTCAGTCTTCAGTTGATAGCTGAAGTAGATTCAGAATCGATTCAAGTGCCTTATTTTCTGTTGACTTGTTGGCAGCCAATGTTCGTTTTTTTATTATCTCTTATGCTAGAGGCGCCAGGTTTAATTTTGTCAAAACCAGCCTTATGAATTAGTGATCTTAAAAGCTTTAATTTTTAATAATTTAATGGAATTGTAAAGATTTATAACCTGGTTCATGGTGTTTCCCCCCAATTATAAACATCGTTTTACAGCACGCTATCTCGGGCATAAAAAACGAAGCGGTTCGGGTGATTTTCGCACGAAATATTCTGGTAAGTTTAAAGGTGCATAACCCGCGATGATTTTTTTTCTGTTTTTTTTATTTTTTATTTTTATATTCATGAACTATTCGTGTGCCACTTAGCCCCTAAAATAGATGAGGCTAAAAAGGAACTGCTAACTTTTAGAACCGCTTATTGTATGTGTAAAATACTTTGGATGGCAGTATATTAGTAGGGAAGATATGTCGCAAATTTTTCAAGTGGATTGCCATTTCTTGGGTTCTGAATCAACTCAAGTGTGAATAGAGGCTCAAATTTCTTTTTACTTTTAGTGGATACAAATCGAAGCAAGCTGTGTTTTTTTCTTGGTAATTGAACGTATTCTGTGACGCCCAACACCGTTCATTCGGAAATTAGATACTTTGTAAAGTGCCCTGTAAATATGTCTTCTCATGTTACTGTGTTCAAAGACTGTAAATTCATTTGTATTCGCAAAGCAGCAGATGGTTATAAGCTTTTCGTTAAAGAATTGTTTAAAATATGCAGGTCAAATATAATCATAGTGAGCATTCTAGAACCAATTCGAAAAACCCAATCATGCCGCAAACTTGCCAAAGGTTTATACCCAAAGGCATTGTGCCTTCCGGGAGTGTGTTTGAAACAAATAACCAAATAATACTGCACGAAACTAGTTGTGATGAGATTTGGCATAGAGCTAAAAGAATTGCGGGATTGTCAGTCGATACCAGAATTAGTTTTCAGAAACGTTGTTGTTGTGCTATCTTCAGTCAACTAGTTAACCCCTAAGAGTGATTAACACCTAATATCTCCTTACAGTTTCACCGCTGAATCAAACATTATGGTCACGAGAACGAATGAAATTATTACCAACTATGGAATATCTTATTGTTAAGCAAATTCTTCTTGATAGTAGCACAGGAATTGAAAAGAGAATTGATGCATGCTAGTGTGAGGGTGGAAAGGTTGAAAGTTGGATTATCATCAGTTCTTAATAATGATGATTTGAAATGATATCAATAATGATTCTATTTATTTTGATTTGTCTTTGTCGCTCACCAGCCGAAATATAAATTTATCTTCTTTTCTTTCTCCCTTATCCTCCCGCCCCTCCCCCCCTCACTGCATTGACTCTAATTTGCATATGTTAAGACTAGTTCTCACGGTATGTACCTCCCACCGAAAAATAATAAAAAAAAAACAACACGTAGACCTGTTTACATAGCTCGCTGAAATTAAGACAATTGAATATATTGCGAAACGAAAGCCTGAAGCGAGGATTATCTGCTGTACTCTGAAGAGAATAGCGGCAGGGTATTGTTTGTATATACTTTTTAAAATTTTTTTTGTAAGCTAGAATTAAGGCAAAACACTCGATTAGACGTCATATCATTTCCGCCTTTACACAGCTCCCTTACGTGGATGAAAAGAAAATTCACGCATTATTCTTTCCGGGAGTTATAAAATCAATGAATCATTACAATTTTTTCAACGCAAAAAGAAAAACTCTGCATTTTTCCGACATAAGAGGCGTTTATCATTTCGTATCCCACTGTGATATGTGAAAAGATAGCTTTCTCAATAGTTTGAAGCTTCTGAGATGACGGTGCTTTACGCAGTTCAATAATCTCTCTTGGAAGCAGGGATTTATTAAAACTTTGGTAGTTTGCCTAAATGGCAGACGAGCTGAAATTTGAAATACAATACAGTGGTAGGATTTAATAACAAGGATATGACAGAAGCTGTGGCAAATTAGAAAGTGAAATATGGGTTAAGTTAAGCCACAATTTTGGTATATATGAATGGATGAATGAATAAATGATGAGATGACAGGAGTAGAAACCCGTGTAAACACATAGAATGTTCTGAAGGTAACGGAAGAAAAAAAAACATAATTGATTCGCATCCATTCGCTTTACTAAGCTTCGTTTCTACGTGTTACCCATGTTGACTCTCTGCGTTGGCATTGCTGAAGGAAAACAAATCGTGTCAGTGAAAATTGCTAGAGGTAAGATTTACCATTCCTAGAAGTAGTCTCAGAATCCGAACAAGAAAAAGTCGCAACAATTTTTCAAAATTCCTGCGCAACTTCGATTTTCCTCTTTTTTTGCCAGCATTGTCCGTTTTTGTTTTCACGCAGTACTTTGGTTGGGTTAATTGAAGTTCAAAAATCGTTTCTTATTCATTTCTGAACTGTAACAGTTCACGATAATTCGCTAGTCAGTCAAAAACGTTGACTCAATCATTTTAAAATACTAGTTTTAGTCTCGGCTAATAGTTTTTTCGAGGCATTTAACACACATTACCACATTAAGGTTTTTGCCTTTTTTTTCCTTTTTTTTTGAAGTTATTTTTATTAAAGAAAAAGTTAATCTGTATGAACTCCATGTAATTTGTCATAACGGCAGACATCTTTGTAAGTACATTACAATGGGTGCAGCAAAAACGTACCATGTATAATATCTTTTGTTTTCTTTTTTAATAACTTCGCTTTGAAGCTGAAAGATCTTTACATCTCTAGGTCTGGAAAATTTCGAGTAACTTCAGTGTTCCCACTTTTAAATAAACGACCAAACAAAGTTTAATTACATAATCGGTGCGAAACAATTTCAAATCATTGACAAACCTCAGTGATGCTCGAGAGTGTGTTAATTCTGTTTGAGGCCCAATAGTTCATCGTGTGCAAACAAAATAAAGAGCAAAAGAATAGAAATGCAGTGTCAATCCTTTACATTAATGATTTCGGGCGCAGCTAGTACGACCTAGTAATACTTTCTCGATGAATTGTAGCACGTTTAGGGTAACGCATATCTTAGCTTTTAAGTCTGCTAATTTAAAATATTCCGACAGGAACCGTTAAAAGATAAGTTAACAGTTTGGACGAAGTGTTATCCATAAATAATTCTGTCATTTCTAAAGCGTGCCTGTATAATATTAAAATCAGCTTGGGCATTAGTAAACAACGAGAGTGACCTAGCTCAATTACTAACGGGAATCATTTTCAAACATCTTTTGGCAGGATGCCTAGCTGAATAAGAATAATTCTGAACTAAAATAAGGTTTCTTTTTGTCAATTAAAATATAAATATTTTCTTATATAAGTTTACTTCCTCAAAAAAAATTGTATAGTTTTGTTGAACCTTAGTAATTTACTTCTGTAAACATCGTTCAAAAACTATGAACCGGAATAATTCAGCGTTCAATCAGCATTGTTTTCATTTGGCAGCTTTTTCTAGATCGCCTACGGTAGCGAAGCAACTTGTCTTGGTGATCAATAATTTACAACCGACAAAAGTATACCAAAACATATGCAAATATATAGAAATGTTTTAATTTTTTTTTCTTATTTTGCTTTGCCCGCCAAGCGCATTAGGCCGAATTTCTGCTATCATTTTCGAAGTACCAAGAGGTCGTCCTAAAATTACGGAAAAAATGAAAACAACAATGCAAAAAGGAAATGGCGTTTTTCGCAACTGGGTTCATTCAACCTGGTGTTATGCAAATTAAGAAGTTTGAATTTTTGTGGTCGGAGATGTGTTTAAACTAATTTTTTTTTCGTCGTAAATAACGTGAAAACAAGTCAGGATATGATTATCATTGTTTGGGTTTGCTCGGTCAAAACCTACTGGTTTTAAACTTAATTACGGTTTCTATAGGGTGGTTCTGATGTTCAGAATTTTCTCGAGTTGCAAGTATTACCTGTGCGGTCTTCTTAGTAATGGACTTGATTAAAGTTCGTCTGAAATTTGTAGTCTCCAAAAGAACTAAAATGGTCGAAGTGTTTAGCTAAACGCTCTAATGAATAGGGATTTGGATTTGCTTTTACTATTATTTCAAAATTCACCGCAACAGAAGTTGTGAATCCAACGCTACCTACAGTAGTACTGTGAGAGAGTTTGCGCACGCACCATGCAATACTGAACAGCGGTACATTCTGACATTTGTGCGACTGGCTGAATATTAAGCGCGTTAAGCTGGTTGTTTGAATTGCTAATATTTTTGCTTTGACTGATCATCATATAAATTGTTTGACATAATATTTTTATTTTTGGAAAAGAAAACTTGAATTTGAAAGGAATAAACTTCCATTTTCAAAGAAAGATTCATTTAGGTACATAATTTGCTAATAGCTGCCTCATGGACTATTAAAATGTTGAGATCGTTCTAAGCACTACAACAGAGGCTCTGATATGGATGGATATATCATCATTAATAAAGGTTTATAATTTAGGAAGAAGCTTTTGTTACTTTTCTTAATGAAAGAAAAGAGGGTTTTTTTCACGTGATAAGGTCGCAAAACTTTCATTATGTAGATAAATATGAACACAGGCAACGAGATACCCGGCTATCGGTGTAATCAATATTCTAAACTGTTTTATCGTGTGAGGCTGATGTGAAAAGAAAAAAAGAGCTTTTGCAAGATGGGAGGTGGGAGAAATTTTTTGTGTTTTAGTTTTTTAGATTTCCTTTATCGCACTTCAAATTTTACAATGGTGATCCGCTGTGTTCCGATTTTAACAGCTTATGAAATACTTTGCCCTTTAAATTTTGAATAGCGATGGAAAATGCAAGATTTTTGGGTTTATTAGAACCCTGGGAACATATTGTGAATAAAATTTTTGGGCGTTCAAGGCATTATTAAAAATGAAATGCAATAAACTCTTCATAAATTCTCATATAAGACAATCCGAGAACATAACATGAAATTTCCAGTGAGATTTTCATAGAGCTTGCGTACATATGTTCACCATTTTACTTTTCTGTGCAAACAAGAGAAAATTAATAACTATTTATTTTCAAAGGAAAAATTTTCCCTGATTAATTTAGGTAGATAAACAAAGATATCCTCAGGAATAGTTCGTCCAGATTTTAAGAAAATGACTGTGTCCAATATCAGTGAAATATTTCCTAGAAAGTATTAAGATTATTATTTTTTTTTTTGCCAATAAAGGCGACATCGCAAATTGTTTCCCTTTTTCCCTGTCTCTCATATCAAAATATTCAAATGATTGAGCTAGATTAACATAGCTGACCATTTTATTTTACAGCTATTTTTAAGATATCACTGTAGACAGCCGATGTCAGATACAGTTTTAAAAGATATTACATTGTGGCTGGCGGGGTTGATTGAAAATGCAAATCAATATTTTTAACAACAGCTGAGGATCGTTTATGTTTATAGGTAAAACTAATTTGTTTCATTTGATCGGGGAAAGAAATTAAAAAAAAGTACAGAAATAACAATGGCATCCTGATGCGTTCAGTAAAATCCATTTTCTTTTCATTCGGCATTTGGAGGAGAAGAGTAAAAAATAAAACGTGAATAGCAGGTAAGTCAGTAACACTTAAATTCAAGGTGGTTAATGATTGGAGTACAATTTGATATTTCCTTCTTAGAGAATAATTTTGAAATTGACTAAATGGAAGTTTCCAATTTCAATAAATATAAGTCATGTCGACTATACCCAAAACCAAAATAAGAAACTAAAACTATGAAGGCAAAACCATGTTTACCACATTTTTCAAAGCTACAGATCTTCGAATACGCGTAAAGTACTCCCCAAAAGGCAAGCGTAAGCTGAGTTTTCTTAACTTAATATAATTCACTTGGGTTGAGAGAGATATTCTTTACTACTACTACTACTACTACTTTCATAGCTATATTTCAAAGGTTATGTTTATGAAAACAATCGTATAGCTATAAATTCGTTTCGATGGGAAATTTTTTCTCTTAAAGGATTGGAGTCATCGGGCTTCTGCCTCTGCATATTTTTGCGTACATCGTATAAATTCAAAAGCATTAGCGCCAACAACTTGCTTCCGCGTTTGCCTTTTTCCAAAGCTATAAATAAGGAGTCAACTTTAATTTTTTTTAATATTATTTGCTATATAATCAATAAAGCAAAACATGATCCTAGAAAAACATAATCACTTTCTCTCAAACTGTGATTTTAAAAGTTTACTGCACGGGGTCTTTTTCATTCGGATTGCTATGAGTTTAAAATATATAAAAACACCAATAATAATTTTTGAAGGTAAGTGGGACTCGCATGGTGTTTTGAAAATGCTCGCATTTGGTGGTGAATATGACAGCATGTTAATAGTGAAAACAGTAAGGCGATAAGATGTTTGCCAACTCAGTCACCATTTGGAGAAAACCAAATGTTTGGTTTTTATTTTTTTTCATCTGTAGGTTTTTTCAAGGTTAGAAAAATACCAAAAATTGATAAATATGAGATGAAGAAAATGTAAGGAGAGTTCCAAATAAGCTCTTCTTAAGGCTTTGTATACCTTTGTGAGGATTCAATATCCCATACAGGGAGTAGGTAACGTTTAATTAAACTAAGTTGTTATCAAAACATAAATTATTTCTATTGGTAGTGGCGAGGTCTCTGCACATCCCTCTCTTTACATTGGTCTATTAACTTTTTCGAGCAAAAAAAAAAAAGAGTGAATAAAATTGGAATCCTTGCATTTTTGACATATCTCACGAAAACGAAGATAAGGGGCCACATATGAATGAGCCCACATTTGCATAAATTGTATTCAAGAAAGAGACATAAAAAATTATTTTTAACTTAATTGAGCGACTGCAGAGAGATTTTAACTTTCTTTTGATCGACACTACCATGGATCCATTCAATCCGACTATTAGAGTGTAGTCATGAGGAATAAATGAATTTAATCATGAATGAAAATATCAACAATAAAGATCAAGGACCCGACTTGCAATCCCATTGGAACTTTTGAATAATAATCATAGTAAATAAAAATTAAAATCCGAAGACGACAGATGACAGTAGTGGAAATTATAACCCATAAAATGACTCTAAAAAAAGTTGTTTAATCTCGCCGGGCTGTTAAATGCACTTTTAACTGACTTGAAGATATTCTATAATTTTGTTAATTTTTGTTCTACGAAAAAGCAACGTTACATTTTATTCTTTTTGTTTGGTCTGTTCCCAAAACATGGTCAGAGGTTAACAATAATTTTTGATAACAAAGCTTACTTCTTTAATCCTGGATCTTTGAATGCACGCCTTCTGAAAGTTGCATAACTTATTAATGATTAGATAATTTTGAGTGAGATATATTTATCCCAAAATGATAGCGATTCTTAGAGGATCGTAATGTTGTGCGTTACTGCAAAAGAGGCAAATTATTTACCAGGGCTGCCTTCATGAAGCAAGCACTATCTACTAAAATATGTCCGGGGGAATTTCTCTTCCGGTTTTTCCGAGAGAAATAATATCTCAGTCAGTAGACAATTATTTATCAGCGAAACAACAAGTTTAAAAAAAGAAATGAAGGGTGACGTCATTTGCTTGTATTGTGAAATGAGATTCATTTATTTTGGTCGTTTGATTCTATCTTTTTTCTTTAGTGAATCATTTTGCTATAAATTTGAAATACTTCAAAAGAATGCTAGGCTGTCAAAAGCTGTTTATGGTATTTTAAAATGTTTTCTTGGTTTTTTTTATTATCAATGTACGATCTTAATTTCCAGGTCACAGCAATACAGAGTTAATCAATAACATTTAGAGACCCTTTTTTATTTGCCTGCAGAATTCTAAGGGATGAAAGTTTATTTCTGAGTTATTATTCGTCTCAGAGTTCATTGTTTATCCGTTTGGTGATCCAAATGACTTAGATACCTAGATGAAAACCAAATGCCGGTTCAGGTTGCCAGTGAAAGATCTTATGATAATATCTGGGCACAATTATTTTTCAATTGGAAAAAAAATGATACTCCATTGTTAAAACTCCTATCAACGTAATCATGTGAAATACAAAAGCATTAGAACCAACACAGCTGAAAAAACGGAGACAGATCAGCTGACGCCTAACCAAGCTAAGGTTATGAAAAAAAAACCAAGGAAAGCTCATGTCCTGTCAATCGCTTCATAAAGGTCTTACCACCACACTAGTGTTTGCTGTTTACATATAGAGAAAAATTGTGAAGTGATATATTTTTTTTAAAAGAGGTCTTTGTTCGCGCCTAAACGTATGCCTTAGCCATCGTTGATATTTACATCTTTCTTTTTCCTTTTTTAATATTTGAAGGTAATAATAGTTAATTATGCATGCTTCTTTCCTTGTTGCATTTCAAACGGTTTTTTTCATACATGGAATTCATCAAGATTTGTCCAAAAGCATCTATGAATTTTTCAGATTATAGAACTCACATCTTCGAAATTCTACAAAGCTCGGGAAACTTAAAAAGTCTTGCTTTACAAATTGTTTTGAAATCCTCGATTTCGCCTCCACAAAACTCCTTCTAGAGCCACCACGAAGACCATAAATTTTTTAGATTAAAGAACCCTCACATCTTCGAAATTCTACAAAGCTCGGGAAACTTTGAAAATTCTTGCTTCACAAATTGTTTTGAAATCCTCGATTTCGCCTCCACAACACTCCTTCTAGAGCCACCACGAAGACTATAAATTTTTCAAATTAAAGAACCCTCACGTCTTTGAAATTCTACAAAGCTCGGGAAACTTTGAAAAATCTTGCTTCACAAATTATTTTGAAATCCTCGATTTCGCCTCCACAAAACTCCTTCTAGAACCACCACTAAGACTGGATACATCAACAAAAAATATCTTCATCCTAATTAAGGGGTCAAATCGCTTGTATGCTTTAGTCGTTGTTATTGTTTACGGTAATTTAGTGTTAACAGCTAAGTTGAAAACGTAAATTGACCACCGTAAAGAGTTTAAAGGCTGACGTTTCGAGCGTTAGCCCTTCGTCAATCGCTCTGAAGAAGGGCTAACGCTTGAAACGTCAGCCTTTAAACTCTTTACGGTGGTCAATTTACGTTTTCAACTCAATTGTTAACACTTAATTACCTGTTATACTCTCCCACCGACGCAGCAACACAGTTTCTTTAGAAACTTACCCCCTTTATTCATTTGTTATTGTTTACTGCTCCTTCTTCATTATTAATTTTTGAAGGTAATCATAGTTAATTATGCATACTCCTTTCGAATTCGTTGTTGTAAGTTTAAGCGGTTTTTCCATACATTCCTTTTTTTCTAGACGTAAATGTTTATCAGATCGAAGCATGTATTACAAATTCAAAAAACAACATAATAATTTTTTCAAGTTGGAGATAAAAGAATTCGAATGGAAATGCCGAGATTGTACGATTTCTTTGTCTTTTTTTTTTTCCCTCATAATACATCCCCATGTGGCCACAGACAGCTAATTGCTGGTTGTGTCTAGGATTTGAGCGCCTTTGCTCCGGGATAACTTTCTTCTGAAAGTCCCGGATATTATACGGGCCTGAAACCATATTTTGAGATCTCTATCTAAGGAACAGTATATCGAAATATGCCTCAAAATATTTTTTATCAGGCTTTATGTCCTGATATATACTTTTTTAATACCAAAACGCATGTTGTTTCGATCTTTATTGCAAACAAATCAAACAAAAAAAAACTTTACGGCACTGGTAAGTTGTGGGACGTTTAATGAATGAGCCCCTAAAGTGTAAGAAGAACTTTGCCAATGACAACATTTTAAAAGAGGCCAATATTATTTATAGGAGAATTTTAATTTGTTTGTCTAGGTTTTAATTCATACCCTCTGATATTTTTAAGTCTCAAGCATCATCCTTTTTTTTTAAGATTTCAGTGCGAAGAGGTCTAACTAACATGATAGGAAAGACATAAGATTTTAAACGCCTCTAGAGTATCAAAGACAGACCGAAGTATTTTCTGTAAGTGAGGGTTTACGAAGAATACGATATTTAATTCATGATTACTTTTCTTTCCTTTGATTATTGCTTATAAATAATTATAGAAGCAAAATTATACGAGTGATCTGTTGTTTTAGGGCCTCGTAAAGAGCTTAAAGTGCATGTTTGGTGTTTCGCGGAATTTTCTGGATACATAAAATGATTTGTTTCATGCATGTAGAGGACTGGTGTAAGCTGCATATTTTGCGAGTGTAAATGACACCATTACCTGTGTTGTTTTCTTTGTACATTGCAAAAAATAAGAATGTTATGAATATGATGAAATATGCATCACGACATCGCCTTCGATTTTTAAAAATAGCCTTAGTCAGTTCATTAGAATAGCCGATTAAGCCTTGAAAAACAGGCATAGAAACTCTTTCATTATTAAAATCTGTATCAAAAGCCTCCTTCTAGAACGTATGAACATCGTAAATAGAGAAAAGTAGCAAACGTCTTCAGCTGTTTCCTTCATTATGTCGCCAAAGTAGGCGTTAAAGACTTCTCTTAAGTGCTTGTTAACAAGAGAACGCAATTTAAATTACTCATTAGCAAATGCTTTGCGCTAATATGTCCTCCACCAACCAAAGAATCGTTGAATAATAGACGTTTGTTCATTAATTTTGTATTTGTAGATTATGCACTGGATAACAGTGTGATGAAAAGGCTTAATCGTGTTGATAACAACTAGACGCGTTAGGAGACGAATGATTTCAAGAAATCTGTTTTAATTGAGGTTCTGAAGAGAAAACGGAAACCGGCTAAAAGGCAAAGAGATCGACTGCTACAATATTTCACTGACTGTAAGCATTTGTGAAAAGTCCCCCTCGACCGAGGCATAAGTGACTGGGAAGATTAGTTTCTTTGAAGGTGAGTTCGCCAGTCTGCGCAAATTATAGTTTTTATGTGATACTAACAGAGTGGCATGCTCTACTCAATAATTTTCAGCAACTCCTTGCTGCCACTAGAGGCACCATGCACCCTCCATCACCGCACTCTGGCAATATCATTTAATTTGAATGTGGCCAACTACTAGTATCAATATGAAAAACAAATCAATTCAAATACTGTGGGATTTTTGGGCCCTCACGTAGTATTCTCAGAGACATCTCATTGATGTTAATCTTTAAGACAAAATCAGTTTTGTCGTATCCTGCTGTATCTGCCCCGTCGTATACAGATTCGATAAACGAAACGAAACTTCTACCTCGTTTTCGAATAGAGTCAACTTGCACAGTGCCGTAAAGTTTATACAATCAGCTGTTTTCGCTTGACGTCTTTCATCTTGGTCGTACTATTCATTTTAGAAGACTTTCAAAATTCAAGATCTGCCGTTCACTTAAAAGTATTTGTTGCTTAGCAATAGATGACTAAGGATCACGCGAAAGATTGTAATTTCCGATGGTAATAGGTGAGCTTGAACAGATTTGAAATATTGTGCAACAACCTGTTGAAATTATTTCATCAAAAAATATATTTTTTGGAAGGCGTTGTATTCTAATATCCTAGTTGTTTTAGAAACCTTGCAAATGAGTTTGCAAATAAAAATTCACAAACATCATTTTAAGCCCCTTTAAGGCGAGTCATTAATTTGTCTGACTGTGACATTGTTTAGTCTACATCTAGTTACTGAGGAACGTTCTCGATGGTTTGCTATAGTTTACACCGAAGTAAACTGACGAGCCAAATTAAAGAGAGAGGAGATTAACAAATAAGAACTGAGACACAGTTTACCTTTCGTTTTAATCAATATATACGATTCTCCTAAAAAATTATTTTTACACCTAGATAATATGACAGGCCATGTTAGGGAGAAAGGAGATAAAAAGTTAAGAAGTGAGACACAGGTTACCTTCGTGTTCATTACTATATACGATTCTCCTAAAAATTTATTTTATTTAAGAATCTTAAATAAATTCAAACTAAAACGTTTTTGAAACTGTTGTTATGAGAAAATTTCTGGAATGAATTTAGCCTGGTTATGAAGGATCCAACAACTTAACTTGTCTCAGTAGTACAGCTTATGAAAAACCTCCCTCAGATTTTCCATTTTAAAAATGATTTTTACAAATACACTTTATCTAACTAAACCTAAAAGTTCATCCCCTTAGGCCTATTGAACACTCGTGAGAAAATAATTGCATTATCCCTCGTTAACGTACGCCAGACTATGTTGCCGTGACGACCCAGACAATAACACCCACGCACCACGTGATCACAATCATCAGCATTCGGTCCAAAGGTTTTTTTTTGCCGATTAGATAAGATCTACATGTTACTTCTAAACAAGTCATACACATCCCTCCCAACTGTGGATAAATATCATCTAACTTCACCTTTCCCATTATCTTGAAGAATCTTAGTGTGATATCAAACATGGCTGTTTTAAAATCAAGCTGGAAGAGGTTCATTTCATGCTTGGTCGCGGGATTGTGTTTAAGTGTCGCCCACTCGAATGCAAGGTGAGAAAAGACTCAATATATTTTTTCATATGTCTATGTTTCCAAGCATTCAGCCTCATGAAATAATAATAATAATAATAATAATAATTTATTACTTATATAGCGCAAAATACATGTGGATATGATCTAGTGCGCTATAACCCTTTCTGTCGCCAGAAAACGTATTTCAATAGTAAATAAATAGATAAAAACAACCATAAACTTTTTAGAAGCAAACTTATTTGTTTTTTCCTTTATCTATTTATCTGTCTTGAAAACGAATTCCACGTTTTTGACATGCTACAGCAAAATAAAGTTGGTGCTACTGAAATAAAGAAGTCATTTTAAACAGAAAGTAACATTTGAACGCATATATATCAAATATATCGCGTAAATTGAAACGATTTTTACAATGTAATACTATAATACTGCACTATCAGTCTACTATAAATTGTTTGTGGCTTTTTTCACAGAGTTTGACTTATTACCTCTTTATTCAGATGTTACCATTAATTTTCGGTTTCTGCCATTTTGTTTCGATTTTTTAGTTAGTTAAGCGGGGAACAATGGCAGCGTTTCAAATAAGTTTTAATGATGCACATACTAAAAACATGTCGAGTACATTTGCCCCGTCAAAATTTGCATTTTACCATTTTTCCCGCTATGTAAGTTTATATTTAGACGTAATTTTACTTCAAAATCGTATGGAGTGTGTTGATAAGTGTTGGTATTACGGTCAGCTTCTAGAAAATTTTATGTTTTATCCAGTTTTTTGGCCACGTTAGTTATATCGTTCCTCAGTAGATTAAGATTTAGTTTATAAGTTATGGTTAATGTTTTATCAGCTCTTCTTTTACTTTGTCGTTATGTCCTTCTAGAATTCTCAATCTCGGAGCGATGAAGTTGTAATAGCCCAGCTTAGCGGTAGCCTTCTCAACTCTCGTGCTACCGTTTTTCAAAGATGTACAAATTATCATTAGGTTTTCAGTTTCTATTAAAGTTAGTGTCTCTTAGAATAAATCAACCCCAGGTTGTTGACGCAATAATTCTAAACAGATTGAAAATTAAAGTGAAAAACACCTGAACTCATTATTTTAAAATGTAAATCTTTTTAGACGCACGGCAGATGATATGACAGCCCTTCTAAACAAACTCATAAAAGGCTATGACAAAAGACTTCGGCCAAACTTTGGAGGTAAGCAAGGCAGCTTTGAATTATGCTCTGATGAATTAGCAGACAGCTCTTAATTCATCGGCTATATATCTTACTATGCCGTTAACACGACCTCATTTTTATTTCATGGCTCAATTGTGATCTTACTGTAACTTTCAATTGTTTTAGATATTCATTTTAAAGTTCTGAGAAGTTCTTATTTTAACCACTTGCATTAACGTTTCAAGGAAACAAGAGAGGTCTAACGAGCTCGCTAGATATTAGTTCAAGTCATTAATTACTGAAACACGGGTTTTCTTGAATGCTCACATTAAATAAGTTGATTTTTTTAAGCCTTCTTTTCTGATAAGTGCACACTCGGTCATCTTGAGGATTAAAAAAAAATACAAAACCAGACAATTATTTGCAATTAAAGAATGGAACTTAAATGCATAATTCGCCGATAGTTAATTCATTTTTATTACATGGACTTTCTTTTATTTTTACTTTCTGCCCTGACCTTCTTCATCAATTACAAGAAGGTGTATTCAAATTTGTTGTGGCAGCTATGAAAGCCGGACGAAATAAAAGCTGGAAGCAGCCACGCTGCAGATTAGATTAGTAGCTCCCTAACCGAACGCGGTTTTTTTAATCTTATTTTTCATCTAAATTTCTCATTTGCATAGTGACTGTATAAATAAACGGGATATTTCTTTTTTTGTTATTTCGTTCCACGTGACTGGAATGTTGTTGAAACTTTTTCACTGTCTAGTTAGTAAAAAGTGATTTAGCTTCATAACCATGACACTTAATAAAATATTTAAGATAGTATGCGCGCTCTCATAGGCGTGTTTACATTAGAGTATATAAACAAGGCTGTGGCGTCAAGCCTCGTTACTTTTGAGAAATATGTTACAATAGCATGGTGGAACTTTTTCCGTGTTTACATAGCCACGTCTAGACACCGAGAGGCTTTGGCAAAATCTCAAAGTTTTCATAGAAACCCTCAACTTCGTTACGGGGGGTTTGCAGAACGTTTTCGAGTTCTCTCAACGCCCTCGTGTTGAGATGAGGTTATGTTAACACAGAAAACTCCTCTATGGTTAAATATTAGCCATGAGTCTAAATAATTTCTTTTTTACTTTAAAAGAGCTTTAAAGTGAAATGTATTAGGTAGAGTCGTGGTGACTCTTTAAGTTGCAAATCATTTCCGTTATTCTCGTGACCTTAATGTTTTATTTAGTGGTACTGCTGTGAACAGTAATTAGATGCTAGTAATTCTGAGAGTTTAGGGTGCTTTTCGATGGGTGTTGGAAAAATATCAACAAATTAATCACAACGGCCAATCAGGAGATTGGAGCCAATGAGAACTGCCTAATACGCGGGAAAAAGTCCTAATTGGTCTCAGTTTTCCATCTAATTGGTTGAGAGAGTGGTGCGAATTTTCTGCACCAATCACAGTGCGAAGTAGAGCAAAGCAAAGCAATCCCTGCTTACTTTTAACTTTCAACTGAAAATTGCTTTAGCTAATGGCACCGTTAATTTTAAACTCACCAACCAGAAGAGACTTTCCATTAAACTATTCAGTCACAAAGGATTTTTAGTGAGAGCTATATGCTTTTTGTCAAACATTATTTTATGTATCATATCATTGTCAGGTGAACCAGTTGTAATCACCGTTGGATTGTGGGTATTATCCATCGACTCCATCAACGTTGTTGACATGGTAGGATGGATCTTATTGTATAAATTTTCTTGTAAGAGCAATATCTCGGTTTCAAAGTTATTTTGCAATCTTTGTTACCCCTTATAGGATATACGCTACGACCTTCAAATTTATCGGGTTTTAAACCATCTTCATTAATTACTTATGCCGCTCATTGTCTGGCGTGGTCAAGTTATGGGAAAAGATTGTGGCTGAGGAACGAGCAGCTTGGTGGGAAAGCGTTAGCTGCAAATGCAAAGGGTAGGCGGGAGGGTCGAAAATTCCTGGAAAGTTACTGACTTGTTATTTTTTTTTTTTTGAAATGCCCAAAATCGAAGCAGCAGGGTCATCCAGAGATATTGCACGTGAAAACTTCGCATAATGTTTCGTAATTACCTTCCAACGAACAGGGTTACGTATTCCATGCCCGTCAGACTTCCTCGGCATATTTATGAATGATAATTGTTTCCAGGTACTCATTTATACACCTGTGTGGAGAGAGCTACCGTAATAGAAGCAATAGTAGTCGTAGACTTTATTTATCGAGGGTTACATTTTACAGTAATAAAACTGATGAACTCATGTCCCTTAAAATAATTGAAAGTCGAAATAAGATGATTATCGAAAAAGTAACGAGAGAAAGATTTAAATAGAATATGACTATGAACATCGAAGAATACAAAAATAGTAACAGAAATAATTTTATTCCTTATGTGATTATTAAGAAATAACTTAAAATCAATTTATCTAGATGATTGCATGCGAATTTGATTATTTCAAATTGATTTAGAAGGTAAAGGCTTAAAATGGTTATCACTAGAACTCCGTTTGAGTTTCGCATTAGGCATGATCCATTCCTTTATTGTGGGAATAGAATGTCTTGCCAAAAAATTGCGATGGCCCCGTCTTGGGAAGAAACACGGATCAAGCTCAGCATTCTTTTTGCTTGGCCTCCATTTCGTCCACCGAATTAATTTGATCTGAAGGATGCATCATTACTTGGATCTTTAGCCCCTGTCTTTTACTTTTCAAGGATTATAAACTGGACTTCTTCTTAAGACAGCTATGGACAGATCCACGATTACGCCACGACTGGAATGAAACACTGGCACTTGGTAATACTATGATGGATAAACTCTGGGTTCCAGATACTTACTTTGAAAATTCCAAAAGTTCAAAATTCCACAAAGTTACCATGGTAAATAAGTTGTTATCCATATCGCCAGATGGGGGAGTCCATTACAATGCAAGGTAAACTGCAAAGTTGTCATACTTTACTTTGTTGGATCTGACTTGAAGCTATCGATGATCGATAGATGGCATCATTGTGGTCCTCTGGATCTTATTTTTAGAGTTTTGAACTATTTTGTACACGAGGACACTACATTCAAAAGACCGAAAAGTCTCTGACTTACAGGAAAAGCTTAATTTCGCCTTTTCGGAGACCTGTATTAGCCATTCGTCGATCAAAGAATCTGTCCAGGCTTGTGAAGAAATCTTGAAGTCGGCGAGCTATTAAACCAACAAAAGTCTTACGCCTTGAAAAACAGATTTCTTAGATTCAAATTCTTTTCTAATGATAGATAAGGATGGAAGAAATGTGCTCCGAATCCCTGAGACAAAGAGCAAGTGGACTGACCAGAATTTTAAACTTTTATCACGCGTTTGTGTCTTCCATGATTAAATTTACGCGCTTAAAACAATCGAAAATATGGGCGTGAGCAGTATGAATTCGTTCTGCGAAGTAGCTATTGTACATGCAGAGAGTATTTGGATCACAGAAACGTATTCATTTGACGTCCTCCTCAAAGTTTTTTTCGTTTGGTCTTCAGAGTCACTGTGCGAGCAAGCTGTCCAATGGACCTGCGGCTATTTCCATTTGATCAACAACATTGTAATTTAAACATCGAGAGCTGTAAGTATGTGTTTTCGTTTACAAGTAAGGTTCTCGAATATCTATTCGACTTCAAAATACCAGCATCATTCCCAAAAAAATATTTTCAGTCGATCTTTAATACCTCTTACAAAAAGCGTTCAAATGTATCTTGCCAAATGTGCCTTTCCTAAAAGGTATCAGTAACACATAAATTATCCCTGGTAAAGAGGCCGCTTTCAATTTAACTCAGGAGCCGTTATTGCAATGAAGGCTCTTGTCTTGACATCTGCTAAAACGTTGGGGCACCGAGTATCTTATCGGTTGGGAGTGTGCTTTTTGTTTTGTTATTAGCATCTGATGTTGTTGTAATATTTCAGATGGCTATAATGCTAATAACATGCAATACCGGTGGGAGAATCGAACGGACAAAGGAGTAGCAGTCAATAAAAAGCTTGATGATATGCCCCAGTATAACTTAACCGGCGCCTCGACCAAAAGTTATTTCACAGTTTATTACTCAGGTGGGTAGACTCTGATCATTCAGAAAACTTTAAACTATGATGCTATGCTGTTCAGAGGAAGGGATTATAATAATTATGAGAACAACTCTTTACTGCACTACATTTCTCGATGTTTTGTTTGCCATGAGGAATGTGTAATTGTTCTCGTTTTGTCGCTGTATCCACACATAGCCTGGCGAAAGAAAGCTGGAACGAATTTCGCTCTCAAGCATAATGGCCATGCAGACCTTAGTGTAAGCAAGCTGCAGCTGGTTTAAGTATTGTGTCTTCTGACTATATCAAGCAATTTTCAATTCAGAGTCGAAAGTTATACCGAGCTTACTCGAAACCTCATGGTTCCTCTATTCTCCAGGCTTCAGCATTAATCAAACGATGCTCAGTTTCAAAATTGCCCATTTATTAAAAATATATAACGAATATATTCTCACTATTTCACTATAAGACCTTTTTCCTCTTTCTTCTTCGTTGTTGTTATTATTGCTTTGGTTTTGCTTTACTCCGCCATGTGATTGGCTCAGAAAACTTGCGTCGCTTTCTTTACTATTCAGACTAAAAATCCCAAATTGGTCATCCGTATTTTTCTACGCGACAAGCGTTGCTTGTTTTAACTTTTCGGTCTCATGGAATCCTTTTGATATCTTTCTCTGCTCTTATCGACTATTCTAATGAATTTTTATGTGGTTTTACGACTCTCTAATAGCTTCAGTATGAAGTAAATAAGTTTCCAGGCAATCAACGTTATTATCGACAATTACTAGAAGAACTGTTGTCAAATGATGATGAGCCTTCCCCATACTCTGAGAATTTCTCACCATGTGTTCTTTTTCACCAGGAAATTGGTCCCGACTGGGCGCTTCATTTGGTTTTGTCAGAAGATCAGGATATTTTCTTATTCATATCTATGCTCCTTGTGCACTCATTGTTATTTTATCTTGGATATCATTTTGTATCCCTCCTGATGCAACTGCTGCTCGCATTGCCCTCGGAATAACTTCCGTGTTAACTATCACAACGATATTAAATATGCTGAATACAGCTATGCCAAAGGTTAGAAGCTGCTGAATATTTACTGAATATGTAACAAAAAATGCCAGAGACAGAAAGACAGAAGACAAACAAAGAAAAAGACAAACAGGCAGACAAATATAATTTATTTTTGTTTTCCTGTTATCATATTCCCACCAATAACGTAACTCTATTTCCCCATATAAACACGCATACAACCCACAATTCCTCTGTTCGCTCTGACGAAGGGCTAACACTCGAAACGGAAGTTTGTATCAACTCAGTTGATAACATTAAATTATCCAGACAGGTAGACATGACAACTATTGGTGTCTTTACTTTCGGTCTATCTTCTATGTTTGTGTATGTAATTATCATCATGAATATGAGCAGAATGACATGATGATTAATTTTTTATCGTCACGTAAACGTTCATGAGTAAGGCTGTAACAGATGCATCGTTGGAAATGAAGGCAAATACATATGAATCTTACCTATAGATGAAATAATCACATTTCAGAATGAGAGGCTGAGTTACGAAATGATGTACAGAAATGATTGCTAACGATATCATGAAGAGTATTATAGTGTCAAATTTAAGAGCAAATGCAAAAAAAAATATGACTTCTGTCTGATTAGGGGTAGAAATCATGATAGCTTATGAATAAAGTGTTATCATTAGATATATTTTGTGTGATCCAACTGTTATTTTTTTCAGGTTTCGTATGTCAAAGCAATAGATTGGTATCTCATTGGCAGCTTTCTGTTTGTGTTTGGTGTGTTAGTTGAGTACACATTCGTTCTTTGGATCGTGAACGTTCACAATAAGAGACTAAGAAGGCTGATGATTGAGCAGGAGATCCAGGAAGCGGTAATCAGAGACATTTAGACAAAATATATTACTCCTTAAAATGATAATTATAACGTACTCCACTATTGAACAAAGGGGGTATGTTTCTAAAGAAACTGTGGTGCTGCGTCGGTGGTATGGTATAGCAGAGTAATTTGGTATTGTCAACTGACTTGATAACGTAAATTGGCCACCGTTAAGAGTTTCAAAGCTAAGCTATGTACCGGAGCTCCTTACGGTAGCCAAGTTGTGTTATCGACTCAGCTGATAATAGAAAAGTACTCCTTTTTTGCTTTTTAAGGTTGAATTTGTAGATTTGCCTTTGACATGGGGCTTTATCCTCAAGCACAATTTCCTTTATTGCAATATTGGTACCAGATCAATTCGTCTTTTATTGTCTACAAGTTTAACATTATTTAATTTGTAGATAATTTTTGTTCAAATGTCCCGCGTTCCATGATCAATTTTCCTTTATAGCAAAACACAGTGAAGATCAATTTAATCCTTCACTCACTGATTATCCTATGCCCGAATGACAGAACCTGGTTATGTAAACGTATTAAGGAGTCTAGCTAGCATTTGATTTAAGAACAATTTTGAATTATCTTTTGCACTTAAAGAACACAGCCGTGGTCTTTTTAAAAAACGCTAACGAAACAAATAGTCAAGAATTTGAGGATTACAGGAGCAGTTCCTGCTGTGGGCCAAAAACACTAAATGAGGATTCTTTCATGAAGCACTACTAAGTCAGGTTGTACTTAAAAGAATACTAAAGGCAAGTTTTTAAAGAAAATTTGATGCTTTGTCGGCGGAGAGTATCACAAGATAATTCGATGTTATTGATTGAATTGATCATGTAAATTGGCCACTATAGAGAATTTTTAAAGCCGGTTGAGGTCTCGAGCGTTAGCCCTTCGTTAGAACGAATGACAAAAGGGTAACGCTCGAAACATTATCTTTACCAACTCTTTACTTTGGCCTTTTTATCAACTCAGCTGATGAAACAAATTATCTTATACTTTAAAGAGCGTTCATCTCAGAACTAATTCCGAAGTGGTCAAATCCAATAGATTAAGTTTACAAAATGCTGAATATAGATTCCCTGATAGCTGAGGATATTTTTCATGAAAATGATTGTGTGTGTTATTGCTCTATAGGAGGAAGAGAAGCAACATAGCTCGCGGAAGCATGGGATGAATGGTAGCGTCACAAGCAAAAATACTCGTGAGAGCCATGGTTATGATTACGAACTTTTTGAGGTAAACCAACTGCATTCGTTCTTGAGGCGAATCTTCCCATCAAGTTTCGTCGTAACTCCTTAAACGCGATTTTTCATTTGATTGTTAAAGGGTTCAACATCATAATTACGATTTTGCTGTATAAGATACAAGTATCCAATAGAATATTCTCCTAGTTTTTGTGCGTTTTTGGTTCTTGTTATTTGATTAAGAGCGTTTATTTGGATATAATTTTCCACTGAATTAGACATGCATGGAAAAAAGTACACTTCCAAACACAATTTCGTTAGTACTTTCTAAGTTTTAAAAGTCCTCCTCACTTTGTTATCATTGGCTGTTGTGCTACTGTTTTGGAACTGGCTCGGATTTAGTTTCCTTAGTACAAGTAGTCAACAATTAGTGAGCCTTTTCCCCAGTGGCACAAGCACTTTTGTTTGTCTGCCGTTCCTCACACAGACCAATTGATAACTACAAATCTTGTTCAAGTTGGAGAAGGAACGTGCCCTAAACACTTTCGCCGCGAAAGTTAGCGGAGAAGTTACGAATCTTAAAAGGAACTCCAACAGAAGTTATAATCTTCCTTTCTGAGTAAGTTCTTTCTTCCTTTAGAGTTATAGTGCATTCAGCGACAAAGCTAAGAAACCCAGCTCACATCTGTGTGACAGATCAAAGGCAAAGCGACATGCTTCCTCCAAAATGGAGCAGAGACCGCTGACCTATCCCAGAACTCCACATTGCAGGGCAAGAACAGTTTGTCTCGACCTCATTGATCCGGATTGCATTGATGACTATGCCAGGCTGTTCTTTCCCATCATGTTCATCCTTTTTAATGTGACATATTGGCTTAAGTTTGTTGTGCTGTAAGATAAGACCTAGGAGAAACATCAAAGGAAATTCTTTTTATTTTTCTATCGAAAAATCTAGCAGAAAGCCAAGGACGTCTCCTAAGAGATGGAAGAACATCTAACACTATTAGACTCCCGGGTTGGACATAATTCATATGTCAAGGGATTTTTTATGGCTGTTTCTTTTGGGGCAATGCAGCAAACATGTATCAACATGATCGGAAAATATAAGATTGGTGCGAGTTCGGAAAATGTTTGAAAATAATCAGTGATCACATACATAAATTTTAAAGGAGATATTAATTTTGTGCAAGAAATTCTTGCTCAGATCATGTCTTTGCTGACCTTTGGTAAGGACTACGTAATAAGGACCTTTGAAATACAGTTACCTTATTGAGAGTCCCCATCTAATCTTTCAAACGACAGAGCACATGTAATCTCTTTTACCGTTGTCATTATCCTCCCAAATTGGTAAAAATCTCTCTTAATTTATTCAGTTGCTATAACGTACACTATGTTTTATATTTCCAGTACTGTTCATTTGCATGACTGAAGTAAGAGTGTAGGGAAGCGAGGTGCATGACGCATGATACAATCTATAGGCGATGATGATAATGATGAACTTTGAATAACTTTGGTATAGATATAATGAGGAACCTTTCTATATCTCAGTCTGACACTTCTTTTTTTAAAAAGTTTTTCTTACTGCCACGGTTTTTTGCCTAAAAATCACTAAATAGGCAAGCAACTATTACCGATATGAAATAACACTGATAAAGCAAGCATGAAATGTAAGTAACTTAGAACAAGCAGCCTCTGGTATTAGATTAGCATTTAAGTGAGAGCGACGTTTGTTGAAGACTTGCGAAAAAAATTACAAAGATAGCAACTATGGCGTGCTCGTTATGGTAATATTACATCTTTCATCTCGTAGGTTATGTTATTTTCTTGATCTCAGCGGCGAAATGTTCTTCCTCGGGATAAGGTGGTGCTAGCGATTGCGTATCGTAACGCCAGAATTAAAGAAATCAGCCAATAAAATAAATAGGAGAAAATCGCGAGGAACCAAAATAATGGACAAGCAAGCTGCATAAAGCGCGGGAAAATTACCTGAACGAGTACTTCACAAGTGTTTCCAGTTTTGCCTCTGTTCTGGTCACTCAACTGCTCAGTAATGCAATGTAACTTAGTATACGATGAAACATTGAACTGATCGTGGCTGAGGGTCAATAGGTTAAGCTGTTCCATGTTTTCCATCCACGTATAAAGCATGAATTTAAAACATATTTTGAACTCAATAAAATTTATGTCAATTTCGCAACGCCAATTAGGCCACAACTTGCATAAGCACTGAGCGAGACTTTTATAAGGTAAAAATTATCAGTAGTGTAGATGTATGCTATTTTAGTGAGGACCAAATAGTTTACTTATACTTAACTTAGAAAGAAGTCGGTAACATATAAATAAAGTAAATAACAAAAACAAAAGCAGCTCGCTGCCTGTTTGGTATGGATATGGCGAAATCCAGCTGTAGTGCAGTGTGTAGAACCTTCTATATGTTACAATATTTTTATCCCGAAAAATTACAATCAAGGAGACAATATTTTTCAGTTAAAGGAAGTTCAGATCGTTATTAGCGTTTTTCTTTTGTCATAGATGGAACGGGTAAAGGAAGTCTGTTATTTTACAAAATTTAGATGCAGCCTCAGTCCGAGCTACTGGAAAATTAACCACAATTTTCTCAGCCTCCGCACCCATTTAGTGTTCCCTTACCCTCGAAACTTTTTATCATATGGTTTTTTTGTACCAAAATTAATTTCATACAACCGACATATAATGTAATCATATTCCGTGCCATTTTCTTGCGTTCTCAGTGAACAATGTCATCAGTATGGAACAGAGAATAAGTTTTAGGTAAGAGACAGATCCAGTTTAGCGTGCTCACTATGATTGATCTGTTTTCTTGCCTTGTCAATTTCAATTTTGTCGCTATTCAGCACCTTTCAATTTTCTCTCCACTCCTCAGGTCTTTTATTAAGTACAGTTTACTTCTTTAGACCCGGCTTCACTGACGATAAAAAATTAATGTCAAACAGTAGCAATCGTTGACAAGGATATTTTTAGACATATGGACGTCACGCAACATTATACGTGGAGTGGAATATTACGAGACAAAACTATGACTTACTTGTACCTCGACGAACTATCATGACATAAGTGCTTTAAATTTAGAGTAAAAAACATCCTGTTCTGCTCATGAAGTTGAGCTAAAGGGAATGTTGCTACGTCAGTGAGCACAAGAGGAACCACGTTCGCATGAATCACATTTCAGGACACTTTACCCTTCAGCAATAGCGGAGATTTCGACCTTTATGAAATAATTACCAGGGCGTATGATCTTCAAAATTTAGAAAGCCACCAGACTAGACAGTACAGTGAAGAAGGAAAAGCAGAAGTGACTTTAAGTCTTGACTCCACGTATCATGGCAGCAAGAAAAATGGTGCGAGACAACTGGGATTTTACTGCAAATTAGCAAGAGATTTTCATTATTGCAATTTTCACTGATATCAGATGATATTTGAATATTTTTCTCATCATTCCTAAAGGGCTCAATTTTGTTCCTGTTTTTGGTCTCCATCGCATGTTTATGCGATCAGACATCTTCGTATCGTGGTAAGTGAAATCAAATTGGTTTCTGTCCATAAACATTTGACTTTACCTTGTAGCAACTAACAATAACACAGACTGCTTTACTTAAAAAATGATGTTTCGCGTTGTTAAAATGATAAGAGCTTCTAAGGTTGACGGTTTGAAAGCTTCCCTTGGTAAAAAAAAAAAAAGGCTTGACTGGTGGCCATAAAACGGTCAAAAATTAAGCCGTTAGGCGTAAAAGTTCACAATTTTCAATTGCTAGTCATGAAAAGTTAACCGTAAAAATGTTTCGTATCTGTTATGTGATAAAATATTAGACTGTTTCATGTATATTATGTGCAGTCCAATTCTCATAGTATCCCTATCACTCCTACAAACCTTTTCTTTTTATCCCGGAATGGACTTAACCATCTGGCTGTAACTGTGTTTTAGATCCCCCCCCTCCCCATTGAAACCAACTTTCACACGTCAAGTGCTGCAAATAAGAAAAATTATTATACACTAATCTTCGTAAAATCCAGGGAGATATGTTTTTGGTGTGAATATTTGACTGTACTCCCTTTTTTTTTATCATTTGGCCTGGTTTATGATTGCAACAAAATGACTTTGGCATGACGGCAAACTATTTATTTTCACTGTCATATGACATGTGTTATACTGATTCCTTTCAGTCAAGAATCCTTTTATTCTTTGGCAAAATTAATTTTTTCAAAGTTGGAGTGAAAAGCTTATTCTGGTGACTGAAATGATCCTTTTCTATTTGTTTATCGCCACAGGATGTCTTCTAATTCTTCTTGTATTCATTCATATATTCGTTCATAAGTTTGATTATTGGCAGAAACTTGGCTAACTGATTGCACTGCAGAGCTCGTAAATATCACAGGATACAATTTTGTCTCCAACCATCGTAAATCGAAAACAGGCGGCGGAGCTGGAATTTATTTACAGAACGGCCTTGAATACAAACTTCTCGAAGAATGCAAATTTTCAGATCCAGATGTAATTGAGTCACTTTTCTTGGAAATTATTGTTCCCCACGGAAATAATATTATTGTTGGTTGCGTGTAAAGACCACCAAATCAAAACACTGCTATGTTTATTGACAAATTCAGCAATATTCTCTCACAAATTTCTAAAGACAATAAACACTGTTATGTGATGGGAGACTTTAACCTAGACCTTCTCCAATACAATCATCATGTTCCAACACAGGAATTTATTGACAGCTTATTTTCACACGCCTTTCTTCCTCTCATCTCCAATCCAACACGCCTCACCTCATACTCTGCGACGCTAATTGACAACATATTCACCAACAACCTTGCCCAGAGTGTTTTTAGTGGCATTATTTATCTGACCACTTACCCGTTTTTGCATATTTTGACGACGCAACTCTAACGCGCGGCAGAAAGAAAAATTGTGATGCGCACATTCAATGACGATAATAAATTTTTTGTATTGTGTAAATAAGGCAAATAAAAGATGATGATGATGATATTTAGGTATTGATCACATTTTCCTCCTTCTTTCTCTTAACATTATAACTATTATTTTTACTATTATTATCATTGTTATCAATGTTTCTTTTAATGTTATCACGATTATGGGTATGATTACATTTATCATTATCAACCCCGTTTTTTGTAGTTGTCCAAGCTTTTTCTATATGTCGACCAGACTCTTTACGTCGGAATTCCAGTTGCGGACCTAAGGATTGGGTCTTTAAATGCAAATATCAATCACCCCACACCCGAGAGGTCTCTTTAAGATGCCGCGGTGGTAAATGTTCAGGCGGTGTTAGTCTTTTTGACCCCAGCAGAGTTTGCTGTGAATTCACATGTCCATGAGAACTTTCCTCTTTGAAATGATTTCAGATTAATGCTAATTTTTGTTGTTTACATCTTATAGTAAATTGATTTTGTAAAATGATTTTGTGCAATCAATATTAACTGTAGAAAGACCCAAATGTGCAATAAAATGCTTTGTAAAGCCATAAGAAGTTCTTGACTCTTTCAACTCAGGTTGTAATGAGCATGTAGTTTGTCCCTGCAATAGCCACACATTATCCAACAAACTGGTTAGGGTAATAGACAAACGAATAAGCTGGACGGCTTTGCCTCGAAAAAACATCGCATTCCCTCAACTAATTCAAAGGGATATTTAAAGTTAACAAACCCACTGGGTTTGGTAATTTCCTGATTTTTTTCATTCACTTCGAATTACTTAATTTAAGTCATTTGATAATCAAACGTTTTAATTCTTTTCAAGTTGAATAAAATCAATAGCAGAATAACATTATAACTGTTCTTTTTCTTTTCAATTTCAGTAAAAATAAAACGACTTTTAAAAACATATTGAAGCACACTAAACGTTAGATTCCGGTCGTTCGAAGGGTTGGATAAATCTCTATTCGGTGGATAGCGCAGTATGTTTTATTAACACTTATCCGCAGGATAACGATTTATCCGTTGGATAGCGCTATCCGCCCTTTGATCAACAAGGCTCAGGTGCATGAAATCACAATTTTTCGAGAAGTGCGTTCCTACCGACATATGTATCAGCACAGACAATTAAAAAATTCTGATTTTTCTATCCTCTCTTTGTGATATTATTTTGAACCGTCATTTGTCATTTACTGTTCAGTTTCTACTAGTAGTTAAGATGGACCTCTTCTTTTAAGGCAATCTCTTCCATCTTAGCAGGGGCTTTTATGCGTTCAGGTACATGTCTGTTGTTGCAGATTAGTTCTACAGATGGCTTGAACTAATGTATGATTGGGAGTTCATAAAATTAAACCTATCACAAGGTGACTAGGAGAAAACTGTTCAAACTGTTTTTCACCTCATGAATATCCCACACCATAACCTGGGGCATGAATAATCACCGCTTTTGACGATGCACTTCTGGGAGTGAGCATTTTGCACCTTCATCTCACGAACGAAATGAAAAAGAAAGAAAAAAAAAAACCAGCCAAGCAATAAAAAGCATACTACGTTCATGACGAATGATCTTATAGCAACTACAAAAATCTTTTGAAAGCCACGGCACCTCCCCTCAGTCTGTTACCGTCTTGATAAAGTTCCTTGGAAATGTTGCAAAGAAATTAATGGGGTATTTCATATTCTTTTTTTAACAGCCTTGAAATAATAACAAAAAACTTCATGTAAAAAGTTGAAGAACTTTTCAATAATTGCCGCACTGAATTTTTAATATAATTTTGCTCGATCAAACTTCCCTGGGGTAAACACAAATAAAAGATGCCACATTCTTTTCAATTATTATCATTTTTCTTGATAGAGAGATGCCAAGATAGAGTGTGCATAATTTATGAAACTGTTTGACATTAGCTGAAATACTTACCTATTGAAAAGCCAGAATGCATTTCAACTGAAAGCCTACGAGCGTTAGCGAAGCATACAAAATAGGCGCTGTCAAGCAATGGATGCGTTTAGTGGTTCAAAAGATAAAGTTACCGAAATCAGTAACACTGGAGCTGTTCTTTAAAAGTTAAATCTACAATATAGTAAGTATCTGCTTCTACATAATTTCTTTTTGAGGAAGGATTTTGGACAAAGATCTTTGTCAGTAGAATGTTTAATTGTTGACCTGAACGAAATGATTTTAACACATTTTTATCATCAAACACAAAAATATTCGCACTGCTCACATGAGGGTTGTTAATGAAAATGCGTTTATATCGTGGAAAAAATTAAAACTAAAGATGGCGATGAAGTGTTTCTTGCAGGTGCTTTTAGTTTTTAATCAACAAAAAAAATATTAAAATATTTGACAGCGCGGAGTCTTTTATCGCCTGTGGTGCGTTTCATGTTTGATTGTTGATAACGTTGTAAGGAGGTTTGCCTTGGTTTGAAATTAATCTACCTCATCTCCATTCGACATCATCTTCTCTGCTGGAATGGGATTACAACTAAGTCCTTCATCTCCACTTGGAAAGGATTGGATGATTTTTGTTTTCTTTGGCAGACTTAATAACTCCCCACTGTAACGGCGATTTAATTACTACTCTCATATCTCGAAATGTTTTGTCGATTGAAATTCGAAAAAATCTCTTCTATACTTGTTCCTTTCCGCTTGTTAGTGCCTCCAGTCTTTTCTTGTTTCCATTCTTCATGCACAGAGCTGAAAATTTCTGTAGTCTCTGTCAATATGAAAGTAGTTTTCTTTACGTCGATAAACGACTAAATAATTTCGTGATGTCAGTGACTTCTTATGACTGAGAATATTGTGCACTACCTTGTTAAATGAAGTATTCTCATATCAGAAGCGGTAGGACGCCTAAAAACAGTTTGAAACACAGTTTGGAAACATAGATATTTTTCATTTCACATTATCTGTTTTTTTTATGCCATCCAGTTGTGGCACACTGCCGATTACCTTTGGCGGGTAAAAAATATATTGATGAAGCAGCTGAGCTATATTTTTTCATTGTATGGCTTAAGTACACAAAACATTATATACATCACAAGATCACTCGTAATGTTGACAAATATTTTTTGTAAGAATGCTTCCAACTTGTTCTTAAACTAACTGAAATGAAAACAAAAATTGACTTTTAATTGATCATAGCAAAACAGAAGTTCAAACACGCAATGCCTATTCGCTAAGAAAACGCCAGCTTTCGATGTGCTTGGACTGGACCACTGTCAAATTATTTGAAATAATTTCAAAACTTTGACGAAATTCGCCGACGAAACATGTTATGTGAATCGGAGAGAACTGGTTGTCATGAAATGGTTTATATAGTTTAGATTGAGTGTTGAACAATGTAACGAAATTGAACATAAAGGAAAGGTTGTGAGGTTGGGCGTTAGTTCGATGTCGTTCGAAACTTGTCTTTCGATGGTTGCAACGAAATTGCATATGAAACACTAAGAAAACAAACTTTAAAATAAGTGGTCTTTATTTGTACATTCATGTTTTTGTTGAAAGTGAGTTTTCCATGCAATATTCATGCAGGCACATACAAGTCACATCGATGTTGAATAGTTTTTTTTCCAATTACCAAAACTCCCTATTATTTGTCAGGCTGCCAGTGGCTTTTCATGTGGCATGAGTATTTTGATACCTCTCCTGCTTTCTCTGAATTTTATTCCCCATAGATCGTCGAGTTATCCCTCCTCCATAGATCTGCCTTTTGAAATCCCCCTCGACCTGAAATTTATGCAGGGCTTCACCCAGTTGGAACTTGCTAATTGTCCCTTGATAAGTCTTTTATCAAAGTTCAGAGCAAAAAAAAGCTTTTAACTCATTAATTCCAGCAACGATTATTTTCAGGCACAAAGCGCGCAAGTTGGTCAGAGGTGAAAAATTAACAATTATTCCTTAAGGGCGCGTTATGGAATAAGCATGATTCAAGTTTCATCAAATATACGAATTCCGATTTTCCAATTGGCTGATTTGTACCACGTGATACTGGGTGGTAACGTCATTATCGTGGTGTACATTCAACACACCACTGTCATTACACCATGGCTTCGGCTGACCTAGTATATAGTGGTTTCAACGCAGTGTTTCTTTGTGCAGTGTATTCAATTTGATAAAAATGCTAGCGCACTCATTACTCGGGAATTATCGGGATTTACTCGAAATTTTAAATACCGCACCCGGCAAAGCCTCGTGCGGTACCGAATCTCTCGTTTATTGTTAGTGAACTCATGCCGGTAAATCCCAATAATTCACTCGCTGAGTGCGTTAACCTGTAGTTATATTATTAGATTTCATTAAATCCTGAGCGATTGGGTATTTGGAGCCTTTTTTCAGCTCTGAAACAGTTGGCGCAATGCATTTCCATTTGAGGTGACTCGGAATATGAGTTGATAACCGGAGTTGAGTGAACCAATCAAAACATTAGAAATAAAATATTTAATACATAACAAAGGATATTAAGAGTTTGAGCAGCAAATCAGAGCGCACCTTTGAACACTACCAACAGCTCTAGGTCATAGTAATTTAACTTATCACAAAATCTATTTAGTTTTGTAGGATAGACGCTTCAAATGCTGTTAGGATAATGAAACACTTTATATTAATCCTGTACGCCTTCATGAGCTCTACTCGAATGTGCCTACTAACAGTCGGGAGGTAAGCTGTATTTTGACTATATTTGTGTTACGGGAAAATTTACTGACTTTTCCCG